CTCCTGTTATATATATCTTGAGATTCTGAACAAATTCCAAAGGAGGGTCTGTAATGTTATTAGTCCTAACCTGGCATCTCGACTTCAAACATTTTCACACTGCCATGACATGGCTTCACTGTCTTTTCTATAGATATTTTTGTGACAGTTGTTCTAATGAGATTCCCTCCTTGGTAGCTTGACTGAATGAATTGAAGTTTACTGCTAGATTGGCTGTTAGGTCTCATCATTTTACTATTGAAATAGCTAGATGTAACCATAAGTTCTGTTCTAATATTTTCTATTTTCGCACTTCTTGCTTGTGGAACCCTCTTCCAGCTTCTGGTTTCCCCTGTAACCTATGATGTTCAAAAATGTAAATGCAACATCAATTGCAATCTTCTGTCTTTCTGAACTCTCTTCTTTTATTGTCCTTCTTCCTTAGTAACGTTTTCTCATTTTATTTCATTCTTGCATCTCAGTGGCGCTATTGCTTTGCTTGGGAGGTGAAATGATTAAAAAAAGTAATCATCATGCTTTCCTTAGTCTAAGCAAAGTATTAAACTATAGAAAATTTTCCTTAGAAACAAAAGAGTTCTGAACTGCTATGTAATATCTAATCTCCTCTATGGCAGTGAATATTGAAAAATCTCTTCATGAATGAAGGAAAAACTTGAAGTAACAGAGATCTTGTTCCACTGACAAATACTGAAAATGCCTTGGACAGAGCATGTAAGTAACAAGGAAGTTTTAAGGAGAATAGAAATTACAAGGAAACTTTTAACAGTCAGAAAGATCCTACTGCAAATTTAGGGACACATGTGAAAAGAAAACTTGGAGAATTTAACATTCACAGGATAGACAAGTGAACTAAGAGAAAATAGAGTAATCTACTTAATGAATTGAGTTAATGGATGACAGTATAGAGCAATAAAGAGACAAGAGTTACTTAGAACAACAAAACACAGGAAGGTGTGGAGAGCGATGATCGCACATGTACTTCCAGGCATTTGATAAGGATGGCATTCATCAGAAATGGCCAGAGTGACTATCTTAATATTTTAATCACCAATTATTTTATCTATTATATTAGGACTGAGTTCTCTCTTTACTATTTACATCCATAAATTTGATGTCAATAAATATGAACCAACAAATAATTAAATAAACAAGTTCTGTGAACTTATGTAATTTTAGTAAATGGTTCCCATGATTCATTGCAACCTCTTTGAATCTTCATATAGAATTCAATATATATCATTTCCCACTGATCATAAAATTTTTTGGTCTGGTAAGGACTAACAATAACAAAAATTCTATGCCCTAAATTACTAGTTATTTTTTCTCTTATTTTAAATATTTATTAGCATTAATTTCTTTTTGTGGCAAAGCTACAAAAATCTGAAAACTACATTGATCGAGAATTTGACTTAAAGATATACAAGACTGGTTAAATGGGTGAATGGTTTAAATTGTTTTGATTTACTTTGCAATTGCAGAGTTAAAATGTGACAACAAACTGACACAACAAATTGAGTTTCTAGTCACAAGGAAGAAAAATCAAATGAATTTTTTTTTCTTTTTCAGGCTTCCATACTATCAAATTATTTGCCTTTAGTCTACATTAGCTTTTCTTCAAAAAAATAAAAAAGTTAAATTAAAAGTTAAATTATGCAGACGTAAAAAAAAAAACAAGAATTTTAACCAAAATTTCTGACATGTAAGAAAATTCAAAATTTTTTTAAAAATAATTAAAAAATACTTTGGTCTTTCCTCTTAATAATAGCATAAACATTTTGATGATAAAACTTTGTTTTATTAAGTTTTGGGCCTCTTTTCATCATACTATGCTGTTTTTTTAGCGAAAAGCAGACGTGTCTAAATTAACGTTTTTTTTTGTTGTAATTCTAGCAGAGAGAAAAAAAAAATAAGAAAATCCAACCAGAATAAAATACGAAGCAGTTCTTTTGCAGTAAAGGAAGGAAAATAAAATACAAATATTTATAAAAAATTGAAATTGTTAAGGTTATCTTAGTCTAGTACAAAGTCGAGGGTAGTAACCTGTGAGAAGCGAACTCACTAGTTAAATTAAAAAAGTAAATTTAGCATATGTAGGCATATTTTGATTTATGTTAGACACAAATTTGTAAGTGTTTGATCTGTAAGATTGTATTTAATGAAATGGCTTAGCTTTGGCATAAAACTACATGTATGAGACACCCAGTGAGGATCAAACTTATGGCTCAGTAGTCAATTAATAGTCAACCAGATTAAATTTCAAATCATTATCCTATGTCGAGACACAATTTAGCAATTTTCACAAAACTGATTTTTTTAAAAAAGAAAATGCTTTATCTCAGTCAAAGTAAACTGAAAAAGAAGAAAAAAGAAAAAAAAAAAGAAAAAGAAAAAAGAAGGGAGAATATTCTGTAAATTTAGTCATCTTTTGACATGGGATTACCATTTGTGACATCTGAGTTCTTGAAAACTTGGTTCCTTTAAAATCATTTTTAAACATCTAAAAAAATCTTTAAAAGATGAAAAATTCAAAGCTTATCCTGACATCAAAGCAATCACACCTGTATCCTATTTTTAACATTACTGCTAAAAACGTTAGTATTTGTAATTAAGCACTTCTTTGAAAATCATCCTGGGTATGACAATAAACTATATCCGTGTCCTGGGTAAGATGATAAACTATGTCCAACAGCAAGGCCTCTGATCAGGAGGTTTTTAGGAGTGTGGAACCACTTCTTAATTGCTGGTGTTTCCAGGTCCACCTTGACCTGGGGTGGTAGCACCTGTTAGGGCCCCAGCTATGGGCAAATAGTTAACACCCAAACTTGTGTAAAAATAGGTTTTAATACCAGAAATAATTTGTAATAAAAGAATTATTACAAGCAATAATTTTTGAAGGAAAAATTATTATCAGCAATACTTAAAAAACAAAACAAATACCAGCAATACAAACAGCTATACATTAATACATTCTTTTAAAAATATATGACCAGCTATAGATTTCTTCAAGGAAAAATATTCCTAGAAATAGATTTTTGAAGAAAAACATATTACCAGCAATAAAAATTTTGTCAGCATTAAATAACCCATTGAGGTTGATATGCCGTAAAACAAAACAAACCAAACCAAACCAAACCAAAACAAACTTCTTTGAAAAGTGTTAAATAAACTTCAACGGGACAATAGTGGGTTAAAGCAATGGTTCATTAATTTTGGTGACATAGTAAGCGTGTGTTTGTGGGTTAGCCCACTTGGTTTTGCTAAACGCTCATTAGGTGGTGCTGTTTAAGTCTATAAAATGACAAACATTTCTTCCCTCTTCCTCTTTCTTTCTCTTGCTCCAAAATGTCCTAGTGTGTAGATGAGAACGTCCTAACAAACTGGGACGCGTTCGTTTCCCTGATCGACTGACGACTGAACTCTCACACACACGCATACACACACATGCTTGTCTCACACACACACAAACAAGCACATTCTTAATAGCTACGCTTTTAGTTTTAACATATTTTCTTTTACTTACAATTATGTACGCAGTAAGGTAATTTATTTTTGTTAATACATGCACTAATTGTTTGTTTTCATGTTTTATGTATTATTATTTTACCCGGACTCATATGAGTTCCCCAAATATTGTTTCAGTTTATATTACTATATTTACTGAAGAAAAAAACGAAAAACAAAGCAAAAAAAACAAAAAAACAAAAAAAACGTCCACACCTCACAACTAAAGTAGTGAGTCTTGCAACAAGTTCAATTCTTGGTCTGGTTACTGTGTACTTGGACTCAGTGGAAACAGGGCAAGCAATAACTGAGAAGTACTAAAAATAAGAACTAGACAAGATATCCCTATGAGCAGTGGAACGAGAACAGTCTCTCTACCCCCATAAGTTGTTCAGTTCAGAATTCCCTTTTTTACTCGGATCAACATACAATGAAGACCAGAGTGCACAACTGCCGAAATGTTCTGAAAAGTAAGATTATTTCAATAGCCCGCTTGTAAAGTGTAAATTTACTTGAAGCAATGCATATCACTACTTAAAAACGTACTTCAGTACTAAAAATATTTTTATTTTATTTAATAAAATCAGAAAGCATTGATCAAACAATAAAGTAACACCAATTAATGAAAATTAAGTCAAAGACAAAATAAAATAAAAATAATATCTGTATTGAAAAAACTTACTCTACGTTACGTTATGTACGTAATATACAAATTCATAAAAACGTTTTTGTTAAAACGCTAAGGAAACTTAACCAACAACCGTTTTCAAGAGAAATCGAGATACTAAAAACAATACATTTAAGAGTTACCTCCCATAGATCAGCGAGGAAATATCCTCTTCGTCAATATTTCTTTTCAGTTTTGAGAATATTTACACTCGTTATTTTCGCATGGATATATATATATATATATATATATATATATATATATATATATATATATATATATATATATATATATATTTATATATATTGTTATTTTTTTCTGGAACATTCAATGATTTTAAATTTTACATTTATAAATTTTACATATTTATTTTACAAACATTATTTTTTTTTATATTTAAATCTTAAAATTTTTTTTTTCCAATTTACTTTTCTTCTTTCTTCATTTGGAATATTTTTATATAACAATTTACTTTTCTTCTTTCTTCATTTGGAATATTTTTATATATTCGCAAATCTAACCTGATTTTTTCATTTTAACGACTAGCTGCAATAAGAATCATGATCAAGATTGAGCGATGTTTTTTACGGCTTATCACCCTTTTACATGTTATTTACAGCCATAAAATATTAGATTGTAGGAAAATTTTGGATATAGTAATGATTTACTGATCATGCCATACTAATAAACCCATAGCTGGTAGCGAGGGGGGGGGGAGTGGATTCATGCCTTTCCCAAGAGGGATTTGCGCGTAAGTGAATATAACGAATCCGGCTGGAATTGGTACGACTCTCTGATTTTCAATTCTGAGCCGTTCTCCATCCAAGCTTAGAGCACCTGGTATTCCCAAACGCTCACCTATTTGAGTTCTAGCCAAGCTCGACTTTGCTTAACTTCGGTGATTGTACGTAACTAGGTGTTTCAACGTGATATGGTCGTGAGCCTTATGATGAAGAAGAACGATAGAACATCAAAGACAACAGATAATGTTAACAACAACAATAATAGTAATAATGCAGAAGGTCCTCGAGTTACATCGGACCGGACGTACGGGGTTTCGTGGTTACGGCGCCATCTGCCATAATATAATACGTCGTCTACACAGTGCTATATGAGGAAGACGGCATTGTTTCTTCAATGGTTGTACGCCATATTGGATTGTGCTACATTCGCTATCTCTCTTTTGTGTCGTTTTGGGAAATTTTTTGCCCTTCATTATGGCTCCCAAGCGTAATGCAGACTCGTGGGTGCTTATGTAGGTGAGGTCCGACCTACGTCGAAAATCAGGTTACGTCGCGCCGTAGGAACGGATCCCCGATGTAAGTCGAGGACCCTCGTAATAATAATAATAATAATAATAACAACAACAAAATGTGCTGATGCTACATCAGGCATGGCTCTCATGGTTTCTTATCTTAATTGATTGGCGGTGTTAACGATTACGTGTTTGATCTCGGCGAAATAAGACTGGCTACCGTAAATATTCCGTTCATATGCCTGACACACTGGGCATGTCTGCTCATAAGCAGGAATAATGAAGGCACATAATGGCTGGATGTTGAGAGGGTTGTTCTTTTGAGTCTGAAGGATGAAGCAGCCATAGTAACTTGGGAGTTACATTTGTAGATATTTGGGAACACCCTCAACTGGAGACCATCTGAGCAGCCTAGGCTACTCGACCTGAAAGTATTTCTAACTAGGACCCACTTGCAAGGTGATGCGTTGATTTTTATCTAAATCTAACATCATGTACCGCAAATTTGGCGGTGATGCATCTACCTGGTGTACCCTTATCAGACTGGATGTCATGATGGATATATTAAGGAACGTATATTTGTAGTTCAGCGTCACTTTGTTGGTGTGCTGCACTCTTACTCAGTGATAATGATGCCGGAGCATCATGACCTTGAGTCGAGAGAGCTATTTTTAAGTATGAAGGATGTAAGCAAGAAAGTCGATTTGAGAATCGCATCTGGATACTTGGGAACATCCTGAATTTGAAGTCGTTTGAGTGGATTGGGTGAGTGGATCTGAAAGTATTTCTAACTGTGCCCCACCTGCAATGTTATACGCTGCTTTTATTCAAGACGTCTGTCACCATATCGCGCACTATCTTTTAGACCCTTATTAGATAGTTTGTCATAATGGGTATATCATGGATTCGTATATTTGTACTCCAGTATCACTCGGCGCACTGCTCTTTCACCCGATAATAATAATAATAATAAATAAATCAATGGCTGAGGAGCACTGAGCTGGAAGCTGAGACAGAAGGCCTAATTATTGCAGCTCAGGACCAAAGCCTCGAAACCAGATCCTATCACTGTCATATAATCATGGATGGAACTAACCCGAAATGCAGAATCTGCGGAAAATATGATGAAACTGTAGACCATAATATCTCAGGATGTCCGGAACTAGCAAAAAATTAATATACCCACAAACATAACAATGTAGCGATATATGTGCACTGAAAGATATGCAAGAAGCACAAAATCGAAACCACTGAGAGATGGTATGACCACCAACCAGACACAGTTATCCAAAATAACGATGTAACTATCCTCTGGGTCATGCCAATTCAAACTGACAGGGAAATAAAATCTAACAGACCTGATATTATCATAAAAGACAAGAAATTCAGGAAGTGTATGCTTATTGACATAGCAGAAACATCTGCATAAAAATTATCGAGAAATTGTCCAAATACAAGGACAAAGAGATCGAGATTAACAAGATGTGGGTAATGAAAACTGAGACTGTACCAATAGTAATCGGAGCACTGGGCCTCGTGAGAAAAGGAATGGGCAATTTGATTAAGAGTTTTCCAGGTAACAGCAACATACAAGTTGTCCAGAAAATTGCCCTGCGATTAAGGCATGGGCTACCAGAAATCCCTTCAATGTGTCGATTGGAATCTTTTCCAATCAATCTGAGGGCTCCAACTACAAGTGGAATTGTTGATGACCTCATGTGCCACATTTTTGAGATTTCGATTTCAAGGACCTTGTATTTGGATAGTTTTTTTAAAGATCTTCAAAGATACATGGACTGTCATGTCAATAAGAAAGCACATTTTGCCTTTGTGTTCTCTAATCCCGATGTAGCTTTGATTGTTCTGACTGTGTGCGTGTTATTATTATTATTATTATTATTATTATTATTTGCTTTGATTTCTGGTGTGTACCCATTTCTTTCCGGGTCCCGACCAGAGACCTAAGGTCAGAAATGGCATCATAACATTTTCCACTTAGCAGTTTTGAAAAAAAATCACACATTTTACATAGATAAAGCCCTTGGTAAGCCATGGACTGTACTTATGAGAAGAATTTTTTGTATTTCTTTAAGATTTGGGCTACCAGTAATCCTTTTAATGAGTCTATTGAAATCTTTTCCAATCAATCCGAGGGCTCCAACTACAACTGCAATTGTTGATGTCCTCATGTACTACATTTTTGAGATTTCGATTTCAAGGTCGTCTGCCGGGACTGTCATGTCAATAAGAAAGCACATTTTGCTTTTGCGGTCTCTAATCATGATGTCTGGTCGATTACCTTTGATTATTCTGGCTGTGTGCGTGCTATTATTATTATTATTATTATTATTATTATTATTATTATTATTATCCGATTCTTCTGTCGGATGATGATGATTATATCTCAGTTCCCACTCGTAGCTTAGAGACACAACACTTACCTCAGCACATGGGTTGATGTCAGCTATCCCTTAGGCGCCCTGCGAGGCAGAAAGATTCCTAGAAAAGTTCCAAATGCACCAACCACAAAAAGGACAACTTCAGCTTCTGCTTAATAAATTTCTCTTATCTGCTCTGCCAGATCTTCATACCTCTGTTTTCTCTTGCGGGTTTTTGTTTAGAAATCCATAATTAATAAGAGATTTTTATAAACCTATAATTAATACCAGATTTTCTTTTTTAATCCATAATAACGGATTTTTCTTTAGAAATCCATAATTAATGAGAGATTTTTATAAACCAATAATTAATACCGGAGTTTGTTCTTTAATACATAATAACGTATTTTTCTTTAGAAATCCATAATTAATAAGGCATTTTTTATTAACCTATAATTAATACCAGATTTTTTTTGAAATCCGTAATAACGGATTTTCTTTACAAACCTATAATTGATAAGGAGTCTTTTATAAACATATAATTAATATCAGATTTTTTAAACCCTGTAATAACGAATTTTTCTTTAGAAACCCGTAATTAATAAAGAATATTTTTCGAAATTTGTAATTAATACCAGATTTTACGGTGGCAATTAATGTGTTAATAATCGACTTTTCTGATGTTTTTTCTTTCCAATTTGAGTCATTGAAATCAAATAATGAAAATTTCAGTATAATTTTTCCTTTGTTATTTCCTTCATTTTTCAAAACATCAGTCCACAGCTTAGGTGACAAGTTTTTCTTAATACGTTTTAATTTTCTTGCTTGTGATACGGAAATTACTCACGCCTCCATAATCTGTTGTTTTTAAAGATTTTTTTTTCATGCATCCCTCGGAAATCAAACAGGCGGGTAAAGAAAAGGAACAACATTCAAAGGAAGGAAGTACAGTATTTCCTCGATTATCTAGACACTTTGGGACAGGCGTTGCAATAAACGTGTTCGCATTATTTAAAATTCCGGATAATTGAATACCTAAATTATCAAAAAAGAATGAAAAACGTCATTTTTTGAAAGGAATTTAACATTTATTATATTATTAAATAGCATTTTCAAATACTTTGTTCAAGGTTTTGTCCACTTTATTTTTTAAGGAAAAAAAAGCGTTAATTTTTGTCTGCTCCTTCGCCTTTGTTCTGCCGCTGACCACCAAAACTTGATTCAAGTCGATGTATTTTGTAAGGCTAGCTTTTCTGGTTAAAAACGCCACCAATTTAAACATTTGTCAAACATGCTCATTGCTTAAGTATTTCAAATTAGACATTGGTCTGTTGTCCTTCAACATGAGCAATATTATTATCATCTTCATATATTACTGTCGAATATGATTATCATCTTTATATATTATTGTCGAATATGCACTCCAGATTGTGAATTAAAAAAAATTATTTTGATTTCTTTTTTAAATTTTAAATCACATCGTATGAACATATGTATTTTGACTTCCGTAGGATTATCAGTTTACAATAAATTTACCTCGCAAACTGGACTACTCTATTCACTTTTATGATTTCAAAACTTCTGTTTACTTACATTTTAACAAGTTTTAAATAAAATTTAATTATCGATTTTAAAAATATCCAATAAATAAAATAAATATTTGTGACACGTTATTTGAGTAAAATCAGCAAATTTATAGTTAAATTAATCTGATTTGAAACAAATATTACTTACTTATAACATAAAAATAGTATACAAGCATTTCTTTATGACGGGTCCTGTTTTTCTTATGTCTTTATTGATATTATCGATAAGCTTCTAAGTGTTGACAGCTAGTATGAATGACCAGAATTGACATAAATTTACGAAATCTAAGTGAACTCATCTTTGGATTCTTTAACTACATAGGAATTTTCACAAATTAGCATATTTTCAGCAATTATCTAATATTTTATTGACTTTTAGTTACGTTTAAAAATGTTTTATGAAAAAATAATAAAATATAAAATACTATAAAATTTTTTAGATTAATTTTAAAATTTAATAGCTGATATGAAATATCTTGATAGAGGTAACTCAATAATTTATGACCCACACTAAAATAAGTACATAAAATATTTTGTGAAATAGAAATTAAAAAAGTAAAACTTTAAATTTTAAAGTTTTAAAACTGAAGGGATGATGCTCAAAACCTGTTGAAACGTAAGCAATGAATAACGAATTGGAGACAAGCGAATTTCTCTGTAAAAAGAGTACAACTCTCAGAACACATGACTTTCTATATAATAATGTTACGTACAGACTAT